GCTAGAAACATTCAACTTCGTTTTTTTTCATACTCGCTGTTCGTAGAAAGATCTCTAATATCACGTCTAATTGGCAATCGTACTAGTTGCACGCAATTTAGTCCCTCGCTTATTTCAATTGCATTTGCATAAGAAACTACGTTTTTTTTCTCATATGAGGGATTCAGTGGAAAAGTGCAGAAATTTCCCAGAAGAACAAAAAAAAGCATGTCTAGCATGAGCAAATACCTAGAACATTTTTTTATGAATTTTCAAGCTTTATGAGCACTCATAAGTGAAGTACATTAGTGTTTGGAATTAAAAACTCCAGGTTAAAAAATTTTCCACAGATTGGAAATTCTCTACCACTTTCATTTTAAACTTCTCAACGGTGTCGAAATAAGAAAGCAACTTCTGCTTTTACGAATATATTCTCACCCTCTTACCTCAAACATTAATCAGAGATTATCGTCGAACTTAAGAATCATTTTTATTCATTCTCTAATCACCGGTGTACCACTTTCTAGAATCGGCAGCTAGTAACTGCGTGCTGTTGATGCAATAAATGATGCAATGAACGGAGGAATACGTTTCATGAATCGCGACTGTCATTGCAACTTCAATGAGAACACGCGTGCATTCGCGTGTCACAGGAGATAACATCCATATCATACTCACAACTGTGTCACACACATACGATCTTTGTAAAAAATATCGATGTCGCGACACTTTTTCTCTCGATAATGGTCCCATATGATCCAAGTTTCAATCTTCAAATTTCGCCTGATCAAATAACTAAAACGCAACATCGCGAAACAATGAGAAATTTGAAGAGAAAAATTACTGTGCGACATACGTGTGCAATCAACATTATTGTATTACTGTTATCTATCGATGTCGACGTTATTACCTTTATTAGTATTTAAGTACCCTATCGTATGGGATTGTATATGTGTATACGATCGTATCTCGTGACCAATAGTACAAAGTGGTGTATTATTTATAAAAGAAATTACCTTTTTTTTGTAGGTCACGCGCGCCGAGCAAGGCGATGGAACGGTACGAACGACTGGCGCGTCTTGGGGAGGGTAGCTACGGTGTAGTCTTCCAGTGTAGAGATCGGCAAACTGGAAAATTGGTAGCGGTAAAAAAGTTCCAGCAGACGGAAGATGATCCTCTTATACGGAAGATCGCGCTACGTGAGATAAGGCTGCTTAAGGTCAGTCCCTGAAAAATAAAAATCATGCGTTAGAAATGCGTGTTATAAATCATCTACGACGGTAATTTCATCGATCGAGATTAATTATATTCTTAACAAATAATTTTAAAAACGAATATAAATTCTTAGATACTTCTTTCATAGTGTTTCGTTACTATTCTTGGTTTGCAAATTTTTTAAGAATTCTAGAAGCATGAGCCATGAAGAAAATGGAACTAAATCTATATCATTCAAAATATGAAAAATAGTAGATAATATGAATTATTAATTGTGTATGTTAAAATTTCTAAAAAACTTTAGCTGTCAAGAAAACAGAAGAAGATTGTATAAAATATTGTTTTATATTAATCAATATTTTTTTAACACATTATCAATAATTCTTGAGTAAGAATATTTAAATAATATTAAGTATCTTTACGTACATTCATAAAAACAACACATTAATGTTAGGAAGATTCAAGACTTTCGTATAATATAATATATATTGTATGGTATTATAATAATACCATAAAATATAATAGAAGTATTTTTTTAATTCATAAAAGGAGGAAAGACATCGGATCATAAGACTACATTTGTCAGTAAATTATAGATATTTGTAAAACAGTATATTTGTTTTTTTTTTTATAAACATAACTAAAGAAATGGAATCCAAATTTGTTTCATCCAAATATGATAATATCATACGTATATGCACCACTTTAAATATTTTCCATATTTTTACATATTTTATGTAAATATATATATATTTGCATATTTATGTAAATTTACATATCTCTGAAACCTTAAATTTCTCAAATTGCATAAACATCCGCAATCTGTTTATCAGACCATCTGAAAAACAAGTTTTGTGCCTCTAGTTCCTTTTCCCACTCATGTGATTCTAGCCCTTTACGTATATATCTCTGGGTGAACGACCCCATACAACCTGAAGATACTAAAGCTCACATTGGTCACTCTTGAATTAAGAAAATTTCACTCGAAAAATAGCTAGAAGCTCTAGAAAGTGCATATTATTAATTTCATTCAGAATACCGACATTAGATATTTTTTTTTTGACTTGTCGAAGAAAAAAATATGGATCACCTGGTCGAAGAAAAATTCATAATCTTACAGAACAATGTAGCAGTATAAATTCACCGTCGACTGCAAGAAGTGGCCAACGGTCAATACCGTGGCGGTCAATATCTTAGCGTGTTCTGCTCTCGACGACCTAGCCTTATCGAAATAATCGGAGGGTTTCCTCTGAAACATATGCGCATTCAAACGAGCCTCCACTCTGCTCTGACATTTCGCTTCAAGGATATTTTCCTTTGTGCATACAATAAATCCGAGACGTGATGCTAATGGTTTCCTTACCATGCGATTTCTGATTCGCGTACCCTACTCACTGATAACGAGCCGAACCGAAATATTTCGTTCTGAGATTTCTCCTTATCGAGATTATAGGATTTTTTTCCACTTTATTTCTTTAGTGAACTATTTTTTATATTATTTAAGTAACAAATCACAATAAATGATGTAACATCTAGTAAGTTGATATTAAAAAATTTTTGGAGATGAAAACTATAGATAAACAATTTTGTAGTCGGCAGTTTTGAGTTCTCTGGGTTATTCGGAGACTTGTAATATATTTATTATATGTGGTATAGATCTGTTTTGGATGGATAAATTATAATGTTAGTTAAATCGAATGAAATTATAATATATTTCTATGCATTTTTCTTTCGTTGGATATTTCTTACTTTTACACTATTTGTAATGACTAAAGAAATTATTATGGATTATAGGTGTTTAAATACTTTTGTGGCCACCATAAAATATATAGATTAATGGTTTTAAATTTTTCTGAACTTGACCAATATAATCATCGTAATTAAGTCTTAGTATTATGTTAATAAAATTTCGAAATACTTTACATAAGATACATGATGCATTTATAAACGTAAAAATGTTGTAACTACAAGGATATTATTACAATTTGCAGAATTTGAAACATCCGAATTTGGTGAATCTTCTGGAAGTGTTCAGGCGGAAACGGAAATTGCACCTGGTCTTCGAATACTGCGAGTACACGCTGCTGAACGAGATGGAAAGATATCCGAGCGGTTGTCCAGAAATCACCACCAAGCAACTCACATGGCAAATTCTTCAGGGCGTGGCGTATTGTCATCGGCTAGGTTGCGTTCATAGAGACGTAAAGCCGGAAAATATTTTAATCACAGCCGATGGCGTAGTGAAATTGTGCGATTTTGGTTTCGCGCGAATGCTCAGCCCTGGTGAAAATTACACGGAATATGTCGCGACTAGATGGTACAGAGCGCCTGAATTGCTGGTAATTAATAATGTAGTAATCAAATATCCGTTCAGGCATATACTAATGATTTATTAATAGCTTGCGAATGATTATACATTTTTCGAGAATTTAGAGGTAAAGAAATCTACAGAATACACACTTCTGTAGAATAGAATAGAAAGTATTATTATTATATTTAGTAGATTAAATAAATTTATTTTTCGTTTCTTTAGTTTATAAAGATAGAAAATTGCATAATGATCCGCAGGCTTCATTAAACCATAAGCATTGTTTATTTGGGTATTATGAGAATTAATTTTAAATTGTTAAGAAAAGATGTTTTTCAACAGGTTGGAGATACTCAATACGGTACGCCAGTCGACGTATGGGCAATTGGATGTGTTTTCGCAGAATTAATACGTGGAGAAGCACTGTGGCCAGGAAAATCGGACGTGGATCAATTGTACTTAATTCGAAGGACTATCGGTGACTTGTTACCAAGGCATTTGGCTATTTTTCAGCAAAATGAATTTTTTGCGGGCATTACACTACCAACGCCTCAAACCCTTACCCCTCTTGAAACTACTCTCCCTAATAGAGGAAATGTAATTCTACAGGTAAATTTTTTGATCTTTTTCTACTTGAAATAAAAGATTTTAACCCTTTTAATCTTTTTATATAAGTTTTTTTTTTTAAATTTGAGATGAATAAAGTCGTATTTCGAGTCACTTTCACTAGGACAATTAATTCATCCCCAAAAAATTCGTATACGCTATAGATTATATTTTCGATATGTGAATTTTAAAGATAAAATGGTACAAAACCTATGAAGAAAGAAAATTGAAGCTTCAGTTAGACAGATGCAATTACAAAAGGTCATAAATTAATTCAAAAATATTAATCCATTCCCAATTCGAATACGATTTGCGAAAACGTAAATATTATTCAAACGTGTGCTTCGATTTCTTCTATTGAGCAAAATCTTTACAAGATTTGTAGAAGTATTCTTTTTGTTGGAATGGAATACAAGAAGAGAGCTAAGAGTGTAATTTTGAAGTGTAATTGTCTTCATTAATCTTTTTTGTAAATGAACATTTGATCGATTCATGAAATGCTAGCGCCACGCGGTCAATTTCTATTACTTTTGTTTTGTTATACATTAGTATGCTCTTTGTGTAACATACACATATCTGTTTAAGTTTAATTATCTATCATTATTTCATATATAATTATTTATATATTAATAATCGAGTTTGTTTATTTCAGCTTGATTTTCTTAAAAAATGTTTGGACAAAGATCCTGACGAAAGATGGTCTTGTGAACAACTTCTACAACATTCGTATTTTGAGAATTTTCATTTCAAAATGCCTGAAGTCGAAATGGAGGAATTCGAAAAACTTAAAAAATATCGAGATCGATCACGAGTATGTACAATTGCATAATAACAAAAATATGTAATAATTACACGATACAATAGTGACAAAAAATATATAAGACTGTTAAATTTCAAATGTAAAAATTTATTGTTACTTGTTATCAGATAATATTAAACTATGTCATTGGATAACATAATACATATGACAAAAGTAATAAAAATATTCTACTGTATTTTAGAATAGCAATTACAGTCAAATGGTATTACCTCAACTTCCCAAGGCTGGTGCTTCAGTACATAGTCAAAATGAAAATCGACCGAAAAGCTCCTCCATGCATCATCAGCAAGATTTTGATCACCTGCCTACTATTAAAGGTTGTAATTAAGCTCTTCTGTGATTGTAATATACTTATACATATATACATATATATTTACCTATTTATTTAAACTTTATAGATTTTCATGATAAATTAATAATTCTTACTACATTTTATTTTTATTTTGCACGTTTGTCTTTATAACTTCTGAAGAGATTTTGTTTAATTAGTATGATTTCCATATTATATATACATATTTATTGTATGTATATTGTATGTACATCTTAAAATAAAATTTTATACAAAATAATATTATATACTATTATGTCTGAGATACTTATAAGATAGCAATTTATTAATAAATCATTCTTCTTAGAAGTTAATTATAAAATACAGCAAATATTTTTACTCTACCAAAATAACCAACTTTGTGTATTTTATGCATATTTTATACACGTTTTATTACGCAATATTACATACATACATGTTACCTATATTACATTTAATCATCACTTTTCTTCGTTAAGTCATAATACAGTTTTACGAAAGGATGTTGAACTTGATCTTCCTTTGGTACATTTTTATCTCGTATATTGTACCAAGCGATATGAATGCCAATAAATGATAAAACAAAGATTAATGTTGAACCAAAATTGGATTGGAACATTTTTGGGTTAACTTGTCATTTACGTTTGTGTAAAAAAGAAACCAGTTTTTTTTATATATTAAAAACGTTTTATATTATCTCCCTGAAAAAAATATATAAAATAGATATATTTTATAAATAAAATATATTTTATTACTACTTACAAGATTTGTTGCTAATCTAAATGTGTAATCTGTCGCACATATTACATGTTATAATATAAGTTATAGGTTATGATACAGATCCACCATAGACGAAGTATATGAATAGACTAAGTATCTTACGAGATTTCGTGCCTCGTGATCTGAAATACCGACGTAGTAAAAAATCACTGATTTTTTTAGCGATGTGTTAGGCAACCAGTGAACGCACCAGCAATATGATTTTTGAGAACCATTTTCATTCTAATTTTCATCAATTGCTGTTTTATATCGTTATATTCCTTTATTGATGAAGTACTACGTTCAATTCAATAAATAATTCTCGAAACAGATATGACAACACTGTTCATATTTTTTTATTTTAATTCTTACCACTAGTAGTGCTGCGGTACAAAACTTGCCTAAATCGGTATGACAGAATGTGACATGAAAATGGTAATAGGATCCTAAGACTTCAAAATCGTAGAATAAAAAAATATATTATCGAGGTCTATTCATATACCTCGTCTGTGGTTGAACTTGATAATCGTCAATTATAATACTTTGTAATTAAAAAATTTTTCATAAAAGAATTTTTGGATGATTTTA